CTGTACTCTACTCTACTCTACTCTAAGCACTCTGAGAGGCCAGGGTTTGATCCACCAACCTTCTGATTGGTTGATGACATGCTCTACCTCCTGCATCATGTACCATGCTAGAATGTTTGAGTTTAATTTAGTTCAGTTTTATTTCTAGTGTGTGTGTGTGTGTGTGTCTGTGTATGTCTGTCTGTGTGTGTGTGTCTGTGTGTCTGTGTCTGTGCGTGTCTGTGCGTGTGTGTGTGTCTGTGTGTGTCTGTGTGTGTGTGTGTCTGTGTGTGTCTGTGTCTGTGTGTGTCTGTGTGTGCGTGTGTGTGTGGGTCAGTCGGAGGAGGTGGATATCGTTGGACTGGACGGGCGCATTTACAAAGGGCGCCTGAACGTCCCGGCCTGCAGGACCTCAGAAACTAAACTGCCAACGATCCCCACCAGAGACGGTAAAATCTGAATCCATCACACGTCACTAACGCTGCGTCACGCTCGAGGGAAATATGCTCACATCTGAATAACACACAGGCTACACAACACAACCCCACAAACACCTGAAGCTCGACTCCACAGACGTTTGCACTGAGTTCAGGTTAAAAATACCAAAAGAACAGCCTCACAGCGCTGCTGCGAACACACAACAATGACACCTGGTTGTCATGGTGACTCCAGGTTTGCAGTGCTCGTTCTTCTTCGCTTCGGTCACATGTTCCACCTGCTCCGTGTCTGCAGGCGTGTATAAGAGTAAGGACAAAGCCAAGCCTGCGTCCTCTCCGGAGGGGGGACACAGCACTCCTCTTCATCAGCCCTGCAGCCCCAGGAGCGCAGCGTGCAGCCGCTCGGGTGAGTCATTCACGCAGGTAAAGGTGTCATCAGTACCAGTTAAAACAAAAGAAGCTAAGAAGGTGAGGAACACCTCGATCTCCTCCCCCCGAGAGTAGCAGGAGGAGGTGGGCGGGGGTGAGGGAGGTCTGGGAGTGTCTGTTGTTTCTGCGTCACCTTTAAAGTTTAAACTGAAGTGACGACAGCAGAGCGCCTGAGTGTCTGTTGCTTTTAAATTCATCTGGTGTCTAAATGTCCTGCAAACACAAACCTGGCTCCTCCTCCTCTCCTTCCTCTCCAGCATCCAGCTGCTCCGGCCGTGATTGGCCCGTCTCGGCTCTGGGCTGTGCGTCTCAGAGCTCCATCGCTCAGGATTCAGCTGCAGCTGACAGCACCGCAGAGCCTCCAAGCAACGAGCCCCTCAACCTGTAGGGGGCAGCGTCTGCCTCCGTGTTGTGTTTAGTTTGTGAGTGCAGACAGAGGTTTGGGTAACCTCCTCCTGCTTATCGTCCAGACTACACACCCCAGAAACCCCCTGTGATGTGGCGCTGTACTTATTTTTTCACTTAATAAACTTTAGTGTGAATTTAATCACTTTTTAGAACATCAGATATCAAACATCAAACAGATGTTATTTATCATAAGTGAGCCACGTTTAACGTTTTATCTTAAAGGATCCTTTTGATGTAATTCACAGTAAAACGTCACAGAGTCTGTCTGAAGATGGCCTTTGTATGTTTATTTGAAAAACAGAGGATTCCCTCTTAATCAAACCACCTGATCAACTATTGATTACTGAAATAATCAATAGTCTTTAAAAGGCTTTAAGAAGGTCAGGGGAGGTATAGAATTATTTCACCTTTCTTTCACCTCCACACACATTTACACACCTTAGCTCGTGTGATTAGATGGGGACAGTCCCATAGGACTTCAAATCTGGGACTCTCC